TTTTAAGATGTTTTCAGGGGATATTTTTGATTTAAGGTTTAAATTCTCAGAGCAATAGTTTCACAAGTTCATCTAACTTCCCATGGTTCCAGAGAGTCTAGAGTTCATAATAATTTGAAATTGTGCTCTGCACTTTCCCCCTTTTGATCAGGATTAGGCTATAGAATCTTTGATCAAAATATTTGAAAATCTGCTCTGCATTTTCTCCCTTTTGATCAGGATTCATCTATAGAATCTTGGATCAAAATGCTCAGTAATGATAATCAGGCACTATGCAGTTCTTCTGGTCTCATGGCAGGAAGCACTTGTTCACGGACACAATTAGCCACACATTCTATTTCCTCCTCTTAATCCTGACTCTCCTTCTCCTTCTGTTGTTCTAGATGAATAGAGACCAATTGTTTTGTCTTGGATGGCCGATGCCAAGCTTTTAAGATCCCAGGTACCACGCAACAAACTAGGAGGTAAAACAGAAGCACTAAACACATTATTAAGCCAATTAACTGGGATTTCATATGAAACTATGACCTTCCACAGGGTTTTCAATGGCTGATTTTTCAGAAATAGATCACCTTTCTTCTGAGGTGCCCACCTTCTTCATTAAAAGAAAAAAAAAAAAAGCATGCTCAATAGTGCTACATTATACTGAGGGCCTCTCTTATTCTGAGCCATCTCAGAATCTGGATATGTCAATCAACCTTCTTAGGTCCCACAAGGGATGGTGTGGGGTAGGCAGCAGTTAAGTGGGTGTTACCCAGCCCTGGGTTCACATCTCAGTTCTGTCACACACTGGCTGTGTGACCTGGGAAAGCTCCTTAACCTAAATTAAACATGGAATTACCATACACCCTGTAATTCTCTTCCTTGATATATCCCCAAAAGAACTAGAAACAGGCATTCAAATAGGAATAGACACACACATGTTCACAGCAGTATTATTCCCAACAGCTAAAAGGTGGAAACAACCAGATGTCCATCAATGGATGAATGGATAAACAAAATGGTACACCCATACAGTGCAGTATCACTCAGCCACAGAAAGGAATAAAGCACTGACACATGCTATAAAGAGGAAGAATTTTTAAAAGATGATGATAGGTAAAAAAGCTAGACAGAAAGGTCACATATTGTATAGTTCCATTTATATGAAATATCCAGAATAGATAAATTCATAGAGAGAGAATGCAGATGGGTGCTTCCCAGGGGCTGGGAGGAAAAGGGAATGGGGAAAAACTGTCTAATGTGTATACTGGTTTGAACAGTTGTTGTTGTTGTTGTTATGTGCTGTCAAGTCAGCCCTGACTCATAGCAACCCCTCCTTGGGTTTCCGAGGCAGTATCACTACGGAAGTAGAATTGCCCAACCTTCCTTCCGAGGAGTGGCTGGTGGGTTTGAACCGCCAGCCGTCTGGTTAGCAGGCAAGTGTCTTAGCCACTATGCTACAGAGCTCCCAGTTTGAACAGTGTTTCCCCCAAATTCATGTTTGCAGTACAGTGAATCATTTAACATTGTCCTTCTAGCCATTCATGGCCTTATGATCTCACAAAATGATTGGGTAGGACTATGCATATAAAGTGTCTGTGGCCCACCAAGGGGATTAGATAACCTGCTAATAATGCAAACAAGGGACAGAATGCTCATGAGAGTGGGACCATGCAAATAAGGTTTATGGAACACTAATGAGGGGATTGGACAATGTTGCCATCCCTTTAGGCTTAAAAACCCACTGCTATTGAATTAGTTCTGACTCATAGCGACCTTATAGGACAGAGTAGAACTGCCTCAGAACGTTTCCAAGGCTGTAAATCTTGCGGAAGCAGATTAGCACATCTTTCTCTGTGGAGTGGTTGGTGGGTTTGAACTGTGAATCTTTCAGTTACCAGCCAAGTACTTAACCACTGTGCTATTAGGGCTCCCTCTGCTAGGCTTAAAGAAAGCTAATATCCAGAAGCAGGGCAGGGGAAGGTGAGGAAACTAACTACCATCAAGAAGAAAAGCCAGGAGTGGAATGTGTCTTATGGACCCAAGCTCTTTGTGCTTGAGAACCTTCTAGACCCAGGAGACAGAACTGTACCATCGGATAAGGTTGGAGATGGTGAGAAGCAGTGGCAAGTGCAGCAGAGAAAGAGCAGCAATGCAACCACAGAAGATCAGCATGAGATAGCTGTACTGGGCTTCCTGCACCACACAGTGAGGCAGCTACAGCGGGCATGCTGACCCATGGAGTGAGAGAGTTGAGTACCTTTGAGCAGGCAGCTTGCTGGTAAAGAGGAATGCCTCCACATACTTACCGGCAGAGCTAAAGAGCTTTGTAACAGTTGCTGGAGCTGGACAGAGGCTAAGGGAGGGGCCAAGGGCCAGAGAGAGGTCTGCCTAGGGCACTGCTGAGAAGAAGCTGTCCTGATAGAAGAACTGCATCCTGAGTTGTTCCTGATCTTGATTTATAACTTGTTACTTCCCTAATAAACCCATAACTGTGAATATGGCCACTGCAACAGATTACTGAACCCAACAGAGAAGCAGAGGGTGCTGTGGGAAGGACAGCTGGTGTCAGAACTGTTAGAAAGGTTGGAGGGTAGAGGTATATTTGAATTCCACCTCATAGGAATCAGTCTTGGGTTGATGATCTTGATTCTCCTCCCTGTATGTCTGACGGACGCCACCATGCCATTCTCACAATACCATTCCTGGAACATCAGCATGTGACCTCATTTAGAAATAGGAACATTGTAACACTGTAGATGTAATTAGTTCAGATGAGGTCATTCTGGAGCAGGTGGGGTTCTAAGTCCAGTAGGACTGGTGTCCTTATAAGAAGAGGAGACAAGACAAACAGTGAGAATGTCACGTGATGACTGATGATGGCAAAGATTGGAGTGATGCATCTTCTAGTCAAGGAATGCCAAATACTTCCAGAAACACCAGAAGCTAAAAGACATGCACTATATTCTCTCCTAGAACCTTCAGAGAGAGTATGGCCCTTCCAACACCTTAATTTTGAACTCCCAGCCTCAAGAACAGTGAGACAATGCATTTCTATTGTTTATAACCATCCAAATTTGGGGTACTTTGTTATTGCAGCATATGAAACTAACATGATGAACAACACGATCACTTTGGAGTGATAGAGATGTTCTGGAACTACACTGAGGTGGTGGTTGCACAAGAGATGTTGTTGTTGTTGTTGTTGCTGTTAGGTGCCATCAAGTCAGCTCTGACTCATAGCGAACCTATGCACAACAGAATGAAATACTACCCAGTCTTGTGCCAGCCTCACAATCCTTGCCATGCCTGAGGCCATCACCACAGCCACTGTGTCAATCCACCTCCTTGAGGGCTTTCCCCTTCTTCAGTGACCCTCTAACTTTATTGAGCATGATATCCTTCTCCAGGGAATGGTCTCTTCCAACAACATGACCCAAGTAGATGAGACAAAGTCTGGCCATTCTCACTTCCAAGGAGCATTCCAGCCGCTCTTCCAGGACAGATAAGTTCATTTTTCTGGCAGTCCACAGTTCTTTCAGCATTCTTCACCACAACTCAAAAGCATCAACTCTTCTTCAGTGTTCGTTATTCATTGTCCAGCTTTCACATACATATGCGGTGATTGAAAATACCATGGCTTGGGTCAGGCACATCTTAGTCTTCAAAGAGACATCTTTGCTCTTTAAAAAGGTCTTTTCCTTGGGGTTTCACAACAGTATGAATGTGTTAAACATCATGGTATTGTTCACTTGAAGATGGTTCATTCTATGGTATGTGAATTTTACCTTAACAAATTAATTTTTTAATCTTTTAGAAAAGGTATTAAAGTACAAATAAAGAATACAGAGATATTCCTTCTGATTTTATATGTGAGGATTAAATGTGAGTAATATACGTCAAAGTCATCTACCACAATCTCTGGCTTTTAGTGAATATTCACAAAATAATGGTTATCACCTATTATATGGAAAAAGAGTTTGATCTGTAAACTGTCACCCATATCTCAATGAAAAAAAAAATAGTGTTTATCACTAATCTTTTTCTTGTTATTGCTCAGGTTTGCCTGGGACATCAAGACCTGACTATTCTGGTTACCTAGTGCCACTCTGACAAGAATATACCACAAATGGGATGACCTTAACAAACAGGAGTTTAATCTCTTACAGTTTGGAGGCTAAAAGTCCAAGTTCAAAGTGGCAGGGTCCAGGGGCTGTGTGAAAGCCCCTCGACCTTGGGCTTCAGCTCGTGCTCCTGGCCCACTGAAGCTAGAGGGATCCCTTCACTCAGGCAACTACTGGCTACTGAGGCTAACAAGCCCAAGGTCGACAAATAAAATGGCATAGTCCCGATGTTAGCAAACCACATGGCAGGCCATTAATTTAAGTCCATTGTAAGTCCCAAGGTCAGCAGAGCTTGGCAGGCTGCTGAACAATGACACAGCTACATGCAGAGTCCAAGCGTGCCATAAGCTAGAGACCACTCCCCAAGGCTTCTCCTTATATACAGGAAGCAGACCACATTCCCTAAGGCAGCTACTCAGCTTCTCACAGTAGATTCCACCATGGTGTTGATTACCAGTCTCATCATGGGGAATACTACATCCAGCTGCCCAGCCATTCAACCAGGCCCAGCCAAGTAGCACACAAACTTAACTACCACACTGACAACATGCACACTGAGCACTTGCAAGATTGTTGTGTTTTCCCCCTACTTTTCAAAGCTCCTTCCTCAGTAGTCTCCTTTTAACCCCTAACTGTGCTGGAGGATTGAACAAAGGAAGTATCTGCCTCTTTTACGCCAAGAGAGTGAGTGACCAGTTCAATGGCACGTGAAGGGGAGGTAGTGCTGGTCCAACAAGTGTTCACTTTCTTCCTACCTACCATAAAAGATGACAATACAGGGAAAGGCTCAAATAGTCCATGTAAATACTGGAGTGAAGGACACTGCTCCCAGACAGAGCAGCACTCAGATGAGTCCTCTCATCCCCACCACGCACCAGACCCAGGAGGACTCACCCAGCATGATGGCGTCCACGGCTCCCCCAGGACAGAACTCGATCATGATCTGCAGGAAACACAAGGCAAAGGGATGAGCAGGGGTACCCAGCTCACAAGCAACCCAGGCAGCGTCCTCCAGTGACCAGTGTTGGATGCTCGGTACCAGTGCCACACCTCCCCAGGATTCCCTCCTCCCCGTCAAGGGCCTGTGTCTCTTCCTTGCTCTCCCTTCCCCCAATCTGGCCTAATCCTACAGGAGGGTCTAACACCCAGAAGAGTTGCTTGAGCCCCTCATTTTTTAGAAAAAGAAAAACCAAACTGCCCTGGTGACTTGCAGCTTTAGTGAGTAGCCTTTCAGCCAAGCCTGTGTGCTTCTTCTCACCTGCCAGCTGCCCGTTTCCTATGCCTTGTTCCCAAAACCTCAGGGGATGCTGTCTCCTACACATAGACCACCAGCTTCTGCCTCTTGCCTTTCTCCATCCTTCCAGATCCCAGGCCCTGGTGGAATCAGAACATCAGGGCTGGAAGACCAGCTCACCCAACATCCTCAATTTATGGATGAGGAAACTGAGGTACAGAAAAAGGCAAGACTGATCAAGGCCACATAGATTATTTAGTGGCAGGTTCTGGGCTGGAAGGTAGGTTTCCTAATTCTCAAGTCATTCAGGCAAGCATTCAGTCATTCTTTAATCATACACCTAGGACCCACCCAACAGGTAGCAGGCCCTAGGAGAACAACCAGACCCAGGCTCTCAAGGGGCTTGCAGCTGAGTGTAGAGAATAGAAAGGGACACAAAATCAAAAGTGCCATGAGTACCAACACAGTTTCTCCCTGGTCCACTTGACCCATCTTCACTCTTTCCTGCCCACTCTGGGCTCTTAACATATGTGCATACACGTTCTATGTTCTCTCTTTTTCCTTCAAGTAGGGGTACAGGTAGGTAGGGAAGGAAAAAAGCATCACAAACTTCAAGACTCCCAAAATCCCCAAACAGCTTCCCCACAAGCTCCAGGTCCCTGATGCTTGTAAAGTCTCTCCAACTAAGCTCAGCAGGCAGAGGCACTATTTGTCCCCTTGACATTCCTGAAGGCCCATTCTCTCTCTCCAAACAGGAAAGACAACTTCAGCAATGACTCGGTTGGGCCAAAGCCTGCTCTCCAGCCAGAGGAGGGAGTAGTGGCTTCCATATTTTGATGAGGCCACCAGTTTGTGGCTGACTTTCCAAAGGATTCCTGGCAATGTGAGGTGAGAATGTGGTGAGGTGCCTGGCTTTGAAGTCAGCCAGAGCTGGGCCTAAGTCCCAGCTCCACAGCTCACAAGTTATGTGGCCCTGGGCAAATCAGTTCAACTGCCTAGCCTCAGTTTTCTCAGCCATAAAATGGGGCTGCTGCTGCTAACTCCGAAGAGCCCCACAAATGAGCTACATTTAGGGACAAGCCAATGTCTCGATGCAACAAACTACAACACAGGGCTTTAGCTGGGCCAGGGATGCTAGAGACACTAGGGGGCACTAAGACAGTCGTGGCCCCATAGCCCAGGACAGGAGACAGCCTTGCCACCCACTCTGGAATGCTAAATACCACAGAAGACAGTTATGCATGGGAACCCACTCACATACCACACCCCTTCTGGGAGGAGGGACACAGCCTCTGAGGCTTCTGGTCCCATCTAGAAAACAGTATCGGGCCTGACCTTAGCTTCCCCACAACTTCTCTCTAACAATACAGTGATTGTTACCCTCAAATGAAAGTCATCAAAGACTTACTAATGTCTGGCCACTCATTCATTCTATCATTCATTCATGCTTTTAATCAATCACCAACCAACCAGGCTTTCTCCCCAGGGGTCAGAGTGACTTGGACACAGGCATTGAGCTCTCAAGGCACGGCATGGCATCTGCACTTGAGTGACTGGCAGTTCCACAAGAGAGGGAGAAATCCCAAACCCTCCTCATTGCTGGGGAAGAAACAGCCACAAGAAGCAATGGTGGTTCAGTCAATATAAGCTGTTATTATGACTCTACCCTTGAGCTCAATGGCTCTTTTGTTTTATTTTGTTGAGATTTAATGAAAGCTATCTTCTCTCCTCCCACCCAGAAAAAGGTAAATATGAACAAATGTTTGGGTGCAATTCCATTAAATTTTTGCATGCCCTGACATGACATCACCACCAAACCCAGGTTAGGAATCCCTACTTAGCTTCCATCTCACTTCCCATCTGTGTGGCCTTGGGCATTGGCCAATCCTCTTTGTAAAAAATGGAATGATATTACCTACCTCCAAGTATTGCAGTCAGGATTGGATGAGGTGGTATTTATAAAGCAACAGGGCAGGCTTGATATACAGTGTGTACACAATGGAGTGTAGAAACAGAAAAGGAAGTAGACTTGGTTCAAATCCCAGTACTGCCACTCACTTGGCTGTGTGACCTTGAATAAACTATTTATTCTCCCTAAGCTTCCATTTCCTCACCTGTAAAATGGCTCTAATAATCTCTACCCCCAGCATCCAGGAAACAAATGAGATTCCCAACAGTAAAGTAGCTGGTGGCCACACCATTTGTTAAATCTCCAAATGAAATCACAGTAAGCTTTACACTTAGACCATGTTACTTAGGCTTCCCACAAAAATATGCCTACCCAGAAGTCTATCAACATGCCCTCAACTGTTATCTAGTCAGTATGAGAAGTGGCCAAAGCTAGGTGGTTCGGCATCTTTCAGTGAAACTACCCCATACACAACCTTCCTTACGCAAGGTCTCCATGAGCATCTTCCCCGGACACCAACACTAGAAAGGCTCCAGTATGCTGACAATCTGGTTTGTTTCCTCTTCTGTGGCTCAACAGTTCCATGACCCCTTGTGTTTCTCTCTTATTTACTTATATTTTTGCCTTGGCTACTGGGAAGCTCTGATCTAAGTAACCTCCCTTAGCCTCAGTTTTATTTCCATGCCTAGCTGTGTCTTGCATTACACAGTTCTTGTTCTTGTTATGTGCCTTTGAGTCGGGCCTGACTCATAGCGACCCCTCCTTGGGTTTCTGAGGCAGTGTTACTAGGAAAGTAGATTGCCCTACCTTCCTTCCAAGGAGTGGCTGATGGGTTTGAACTGCCAGCCTTCTGGTTAGCAGTCAAGTGCCTTAGGCACTATGCTACCAGAGCTCCCATACTGTTCTTAGGAGGTTTCATTACATAGGTCTAATGCTTTCACCTTCAGCTTGTCAAGAGTTCAGGGGGGTATATATTATAAACTAGTATTATAAACTTCTCAGGGCTTTTATAGAAACACATGGAGTTTAATTAATAAAGTCTATCACCCATCCGTCAGTTTGTTGTACTGTGGTGGGTTGTGTGTTGATGTGATGTTGGAAGCTATTCCACTGGCATGTCAAATACCAGCAGGGTAATCAATCTATGGTAGTCTGGTGATATCCTTCCAAAAATTAGCCAATGAAAACTCTATGGTCATAAGAGAGTACTGTCCAATATAGTGCTAGAAGATGAGCCCTCTGTTAAAAGGCACTCAATATCCACAGTGGCTGCAACTACAGATTCAAGCTGCCAACAAATGTGAAGACTGCACAGGACTGTACAACATTCTGTTCTGTTGTACATGGGTTCACCACAAGTCAAAGCTGATTTGCTAACAACAACAACAACAATTACATAAATATTGTCCCACCTTTAAAAAAAGCTTTAAGGGTTTTGAGTGTTTTGCAAGAGGTACATGGAGGTTAGTAAAGTTCAGGTGAGTAGATATGACATCAAAAGCACAAGCAACAAAGTAAAGAGTAGATAACCTGGAACTTCATCAAAATTAAAAACTTTTGTACAAAGAGGACACTATCAAGAAAGTGAAAAGACAGCCCACAGAATGGGTGAAAATATTTGTAAATCAAATGAGCCAATAAGGGACTAGTATCTAAAATATAAAGAATTCTCACAACTGAACAATATAAGGACAAACATACAAGTTAAAAAACAGTGAGCATGACTGTGTTCCAATAAAACTTTTTTTACAAACAATGGTGGCAGGCACGATTTGGCCCACAGGTGGTTGTTTGTAGATTTATGTTCCAGATGAGAAAACTAAGGCTTGGAGAGATTCAGTAAATTGTCAAAAGTCCCCCACAAATGAGAAGTGAGGCCACGATTTGAACCCATGCACTCTGACTTGAGAGGTCATATTCAATCCCTCAGCTCTACCTCCTCCCCAACCATTAAGAGGGCCTACAAGTGCAGATTTCAGCTCTACCAGCACCTGATCATTTTTAACATGAGGTTTCAACTTAACCTATAATGCAGAACTGGCTCCCCCATTTGAGAAATGAGGAAACCAAAGCTTAGAGAGATAAGAGATCTTATTCTGGGACCTAGCACTGGTACAGTCTGAGCTGGAATTAGAACTCTGGTCCATACAACCCCAAGCCCTGCTCACCAGGGCTGCCCTAGGTTAAGAAGGTGGTTGTTTGAGCTTGAACACAGGGCATTTCAACAAGAGAGGTGCTTGCTTTCTGAGCCATCATGACAGACAAGCACCCAGGGCACACCTGGTCTTCTTCCTCCATGTTCCAGAGCTCGTGGACCTCATTGCTACCACAATCTCCACCCATTCACATTCCCGAGAGGGTCCCTGGCTGGGGGCTGCAGGGGCTTTATTGCAGCCTTTAGTCACTGACTCTCTTCTCTGGCTGATGGCCAAGGAAACTGGAAAACTGGGTTCACCACTACCCCTCATCAGTTTAGATTAAGCCACTGTCATGTTGCAGAGGAAGGGTCAGGACCTTGCTCCCATTCTGCCACTTACTGTGTAATCCTGGGAAAGTCACATCACCTCTCTGGTCCTCTGTTTCCTCCTTCTTTCATTTATTCATTCATTCATTCATTCATTCGCTCACTCACACATTAATTCCTTCATTTATTCATTGTGACAAGAACTTATGGTACCTATCATGTACCAGGCACTATTTTAGTTACTGGGAACACAGCAGTGAAAAATCAGCCCCCGCCCCCATGGAGTTCACATTCAGGATGTGAGGATAAAGATTTTTGCTCTGTTAAGCCTGACTC